TGCGCTACTATACTCTGCGCTACTATACTCTGCGCTACTATACTCTGAGCTACTATACTCTGAGCTACTATACTCTGAGCTACTATACTCTGAGCTACTATACTCTGAGCTACTATACTCTGAGCTACTATACTCAGTGCTTTGTTACACTGTGCTATGTTATACGTGCTACTATAATCTGTGCTACAATACTCTGTGCTACGATACTCTGTGCTACAATATACTGCGGTATGGTATGCTGTGCTACAGTACACTGCGCTATGATAAGCTGCACTATGGTACGCTGCGCTACAATACTCTGTGCTATGATATGAATTAATATATGCTATGCTATACAATAATTTGCACTATACTGTGATACATCATGATGCAATGCTATGCTATGCCTTTTACTTAGCATTTTATAAAACAAATCAATACAAAATATAAAACTGAGAATACTACATATGTGATGGCGTTGTTTTGGTAATGCTACGGTAATGTTGTAAGAGCACCTTTCTGCAGTCCCCATTGATGACTGATATGTTGGGGTTTTTACCTATGGGCCATCTCTCCCTATGTTCTGCTAGTTAGAAATGAACCACAAGGGCAATGAGGAGAGACACCCTGTGGCTCCAAACAAAGACATGGGCTCCCAGCAGTAATCGGAAACTACCGTCTCTCCTGCTTAAACCTGCAACCCCAGCACAGATATGATGACACTGCCTTTTAATGTCCTACTACCAAATATGCTCTGTATCAAAGGAAATTGGACTGATTTGAAGCACTGTCAACTTTGCCTCAAGGTCACTCTGCTAGCATTTTGTGAAGAAAAAAAAGAGGGCAGGATGTTAGCGTTGAAGCATTAAAAATTGCTGAGGACCGGCCTGGAGTCTGTCCAAGACAAAGTTAGAAGTGCTTCACAAATCAATGCCGGCTCTCAGCATCCCCCACACTTCTTTTATACTCTGAGATGACAGAATGTAGTGCAAGCATTCTTAAAAAAAATACATCTGGTGTCAATATCAGAGCTTAACTTCAAAGAAATTACAGATAACATTCTGCTCTTTCTAGTCAACAAGAATTTATTTAAAGCTGGACTCCACGGTTTCATGATTTAAGGTTTAAGGGAAGGGTAAATATGTTTAAAAGTGGACGAAATCAGACATGACTCTGGGTGGAAAATTTTTACATAAGCAGACAAAACACAGAAAACAAGAGTGACATACCAATAGTTGCAACGGTGTCGTCCTTGCCCTGAGTGAAAACCACCACTCGCTGCCTTTTTTTGTTCTCCTTGGGGAGGTTTTGGGTCTTGTTTGCGATCTCCGCAATGTCATCTGTCTGTGAAAACACCACAGCCCTGGGGTGAATATGTTAGGTTGAATGAATACATCATGACGAGCAGTTTCAGAGTAGTCAATCAAAGATCACAAGCATCACTGAGAGGGGTCAGATGTTTTCCAGTCCAGGTGGAGAGATCAAGTGATGATAAAACCAGATGGATCAATAGGAGCGCTCAATGATGCTTCTATTGGAGTTACAGGAGCGCTGGAAAAGATTTGAACGCCATATTCCCTAAGTGAGATGAATATAAAGGTGTAAAGATATGCTGTTGTCAGATAAAGGTGCTTCTGTGAGCTGAAGGAATACGTGGTGCGTGTACTGGATCATTCTCCTCCTGAAACAGGCCATCTCTCCTCAGCATCTGCACAGAATGGATATTCTCATCTGGAGACGACAAAGCTCTCCAGAGTGCTTGCCTTTGATCATGAGAGGGATAAGAAAAAAACCCACACCTGTCAGTGCTGCTTTATTATTAACTCATCATGTTGTACTATGAACAGGTAAAATGTCTTTATAGCCATTTTCCAGCAGGGTGGACTGCTTTTTCTGTAATGCACATAAAGGAGCTGGAATTACTGATCACGGACGGCTCGAGCATCTGTATCAAAGCTAACACTTGAGCAACTTTAAGGGAGAGCAAATACTGTGATTATGGGAGTAATCAGAGATAGGCTCTGGCCAAATATGACCAGCCACTCTGGCTCACTCAAACCAATGAGCTTTCACACCTCTAAATGCTTCCCAAACGTCCTTTAATCAGCCCTAAGAGGTCCGGGGAGACCCAGGGCTGAGGAAAAATGGGTGTAACACTCTAAGTAAGTGCTAATAGTGAGGTTAATACAGAGGCTGTTAGCAGGCAATGGTGAAAAAAAAGCAATTTGTCACTGTGACTGCATGTAACCACAAGCACTCCTCCAGACACTGAATGCAAAGCCACACAAGGCTTCAGCACATTGTCACCCTCAGGTTTTATGTTCGCTGACATAAAAAGGCACTCTGCTCGGGTTTAGGAGCTGAAAGGTTCTCAGGGCCAGAGGTGGCAGAGTGAGCATCGTGGCACATAAGCACAGGTAACCACACACATCAACAACCTCCCCCTCCCTGCCTGTCATGAACGCTCACCTGACAACTTCCTATGGCGCAAAATCATGACGTTCAGATGGAGCGCAAAACAAATGGATTGACGAATGATACGGTCAATTGAGTTTACTGCAGACCAATGGCAATATTTACGATTGCGAGGCAACTGATCAGACATAAATCAGCAACGTGTGAAATATGAAAGCTTTACGAGGGTGCTAAATTGTGTTGCTCTGCAGAAGTCAGTGAGAAACTGATAATCTCCACTGCAGGCTGCCTGAAAAATACTGCGAGGGAGAGATTCAATTAGAGCCGTGATGCAGAGAGTTCTCTGAGCATTTAAAGGAAACTGATCACAATCAGGCGACTGTGCTCAGATCTGCTGATTGCTGTGTTGGAGGGGGACAAGCTCTTTATCTTGTATTTATACACAAGAAGTGGGGCTGTCATTTGTGGTAGTCATCCATAATGTGATGATAACAGTGTTTCAGAATACATTACAAGTACATCATGCTGTGTCTTGAGGGTTAGATACTGACAATATTTAATTACGGGTTCCCTGAAAATGTCTAATTAGCAAATTAACAAGATTTTTTACTGGACTGGAATTTACATCACTGGGGTAATGGGGATCAAAGTCCATAAAGAAACATACATGCACCAATTGCTCATCAGGAGACCACAATGGAACTATTTCTTTAGGCTTGACCTGCTAAGACTGGCACTTGAAAACTTTATTTTTTATACTAGTGTGTAAAAGCTCCTTGACTAAGTGGGTAATTTGCACTGGCAACAGTATGACTGTGCAAAGAAGACTTGACGTTAGCTATTTATAATATCTGTAAGGTTTTTAAAATAAACTCTGAGGAAGCAAAACAGGCACAGAAAAATTGGAAGGTAAGTCTGCTGCTCACTTTACTGTTTGGTTGTTTTTTTAACGTAAATATTTTAATATGAACCAACAGTTTTCAATTCAGCTAGAAATGGAAAAATATTAATTTTATGTGCTTTTAATGATTTAAGAAAATTTTGAATTTTCAAATTTAAAAATGCCCATAACTCAATTTCTTTTACAGATAAAGAGCAAATATTTGGTTTGTTAGTAGTCGAGTGAAATCTCCATCTTATACTCTGAGCACTTACTGATCATGTGAGATTTATTATTATTTTTATTTTATTTTTGTCAATAACTATTAGAGTCAACTCTGTTTATACGTCAGCAAAATATCTCATGAAGCACTGAAATGATTTTAATGAAACTTTTATAAAGTAATCGTTGAGTTTACATCCATTTTTGGAGTCAATCCCATTCCAGAGGGCCAAAGCTAACTGACATTAGCAACACAAATATGCCATAACTTGGTCAAATTTACAGCTATTAAGCTAAAGTTCAGTGTGGTAGTAGTTGAGAGTTATTTACAACACATATTTTGAGAAATACCACATCTCTTGAGATGCTGCAATATGCCATGACATTGCATATAACATTTTTCTGCCTGTAAGTCGCAGTTTTTTGCACAATTTGCATGTTGTGTGACTTATACACCGAAGCAACTTATTTATGGATTTTTTTCCATATCTATAAACCAATTTTTGGCTGAGATATGACAGTTTTCATTCATTCTGACTGAAAATATTGAACACTACCATTTTCAGCCACTACATGGCAGCGGAGTAGTATGGCATGCTGTTGTATCATGTAATAGGTAAAAGTGGCTATTAATGACACAATTGGCTTGCCATAGAAGCCACCTTCGTCCAGCTCCGGCATCATGCCCGGAGCAACTGTCAAATCAGTTTCATTTCGCTGCGCCACCCTGGCAAAATGCAGCTAATTTGACCATTGAAGTGCATTTATTAAGTAAAAGTTCAACTGAGACACCTTTGTTATAATGTCGAGCAAACAAATAATTGTTTTAGGTGCTTATCTTGTTAAGTTTCGAAGAAATGCACAGTGTTCCTCCTTCCTGATTTCCTCCCTCTGCGCACTCCCCGAGCACCGAGGCAGCGAATACTTTTGAAATGCAGCTGATGTGACCATTAAAGTCTTTTTAAAAAGGAAAAGTTAAATTGAGACACACCTTTACTATAAAGTTGAGAAAACAAATATTGGTTTTTAGCTGTTTATCTTGTTAAATTTCGAAGAAATGCACAGCGAGTCGTCCCTCTGCGTGCTCCCGCTTCTGCGAATCAGGTTTTGAAATGCAGCTGATTTGACCGTCAAAGTGCATTTATTAAGCAAAAGGTAAACTGAGACACACTTTTACTATAATTTCGAGCAAACAAACAAATGTTTTTAGGCGTTAGTTTTGTTAAAGTCCTCCTGTGCACGCTTCCGCAGTTGCCATTTGGCAGCCTATCGATTTTTGGCACAACATCGGCTCACATTTCCAGATTGTCAGGGGTGACGCATAATAGATGTGACATATACGGTGAAGCAACTTATTTATGCATTTTTCCACTTTATTAGACATATTTGGACTGATGCAACTTATAGGGCGACGAGTACGGCGGAAAATACGGTAACTTTGATTTTTCAATGACTGACTAAAATATATAGCTCTGTTCCTTCTAATCACAAAATGATCATTGTTTAAACTCAATGATTGCTAAGTCTTTATTTTTGTGTGTAATGATGTTTTTGATCAATATTTGTATAAAACCAACTAAATAAATGATGGACATTGTGTGCGCTGATTTAAAAACCGTTGTCTGTATGAAACTACAACAAGAGGCTGTTTGTGAAAGGAAAGTGTAATTTGATCAAAAACTAACAAGCGTAAGGACGAAAGAAAAAGAAAAAACGCAACTGTGAAGAAAACATCTTTCAACTACAGTCACCTAGAAATACAGCAAGTACAGTACACACGGCTGGTGTTATCAGAACAATCACATTCATCCGATGCAATTTCACAGTGTTCTGCCAAATCAAGTTGACACAGAAAATGTCAAAGAATTGTAACTACGAGCAGAGTCTTCACTTTGCCCTTTGTGGTGTTTTTTTTTTTTTTCATGCGAGGCCCCTCCATTACCACGAGCTCAACCCCCCCTCTGCCTCCCTCCCCTCCACCTTCCCGCCTTCATCTCTTCTCTCTTAAACCTGTCACTGCCATCAGGATTGCATTTCTATTCCAGTCACGTTGATCACACCGTTAGTGATTCTGGATGACAATTATTCACACAGAGCAGAGCCATATTCAAGGCAGCTCTACCTCTGAAAGCGAGATGGCACTTAAAATACCTGAGCCCCTGAAGAAACACACACACACACACACACACTGGCTATTTGTGTTTTTGATTTTGCACTAAAATAGACATGCGGAAAGCATGAAAAAAAAAAACAAGCAAGAAACAGACTTTAAGATTTATGTGCACCTAAAGGCCACTTTAAAACAGACATTCACAAGCCCTGCGATCTTCACTTCCTCCATCTGAAAACACAAGTGGCTTTAATTTGGCTATTAAAAGACTACGGAGTGTTTCGACGTGGCGTAATGCTATAGCAGCGCAGTGAAGACGTACAGTAACATCCGCGAGTGCGGTGAAGATAATGAGGAGGCTTTTTAACCTGGCAACCTGATGAGCTCCAAGCCTGCAGAGAGAAGGCTTGAAACCGTGCCCAACTTCTCAGCTTCCCAAGAGGCTTTTCAAAATTCAATAAATAACATCTGTAGGCGATGTTGGGTGCAGACCTAGCAGAGTGCGTCATAACAGAGAGCTGGCTGAACAAAGAAACCATGACGACTGCCAGGTTTCCATAGCAACTGCTGCAAGGCCTGGAGAGTATAATAGCACATCAATCACTGTCCAAAAAGAACTTCATTATCAGCAAAAATAAACCTTTAGGATCTTTTTTACTGTGCAATTGCTGGTCAACTCACCTCAAAGCCCAGCTCTTTGGCAAATGTGGCCGCCTCCTAGAAAAGATAAACACACACAAACATACATGCACATAAATAAGCAGGTATTTACAGAGTCACAAACAGCACAGTGTCAAACTACAGAAGTGAAGTAAAGACATCTCGCTCCACTCCTCACGTGTCACTTGAGAATAAGTAACCTGAGTTAGTGTTGCTCTGCCAACTCCTGATTTAATAGGCAGGCAGCCCACCCATTTAAACTATTACCCGACATCGTCTCATCTTACCACGGCAGCAAGAGATAACACTGCATCAGCCTGCAGGCTTGAAACAACCGCAGAAACCATGAATATGTACTGGTCTGTGGGAATCTCCCGATGCTTTAGGCATTTAGCGGCTACGATACTTGTAGGTTGCTTCAGTCTACTGGGAGGTGTACCTTTACATACCCAGACGTTTGTTTATCCAAGAACAGTCTCTCACTATTCGTGTAAACTTTATGATCCTACTGACTTTTGCTAAACATATATGCTGCAGTTTTTTTAGATTTCCAAATGCAATCCCAATTTAAAAACACTGTGACGTGAGAAAAGTGGGGATACACGATATTATCGGCATGGTATCGGTATCGGCTGATATTAGCGTTAAAGTTCAATATTGGACACAGGCCATTCCATCAAAATAACTCACCGATATAAAAGGCACTGTTTTTGTATGACAACCCTGAGACAAGGATGCCTGCAGCGGCAGCACAACATGATGACGTCATGCGCACCGCTGCTTACCTGATCTCACGGTGGAGAGGAAAATTCAAAATGTCGGTCGTGCCGAAGTTTGTTTTTTTTCGTTGGTGAGGATGTCGGATTCCAAAGATTTATGGACTACGTTGAGCCTCGCTACATCATTTCCAGTCGGAGATATTTTTCCAACGTAACCTTACTCGAGTTACAAGCCGTCATTTCCGACGTCATTGAGAAGCTAATAGCTGATAGCACTTGGGTGAGTTTTACCACAGACATTTGGACGTCGTGTTAGCCCCGTTAGCATGATTAGTCTTACGGCACAATGGATAGACAAAAACTTTGAACTTAAAAGAAAGTATATTAAAATATCGGTATCGGTTATCGGTCAAATAAGTTTTAACATATCAGCATATCGGATATCGGCCAAAAATCCAATATCGTGCATCCCTAGTGAAACGTAAAATAAAACTGAACACTTTGATTGGCAAATCTCATAAATCCACATTTTTGTCACAATGTCACATAAAAAACATGAAATGTTTACACTAAAAAAATTGTACCACTTTTGGAAAAGATATGGTAACTTTGAATTTGACGGCAGTGACACATTTTCAAAACAACAGGACACGGGTATCAATAGGCTTTAAAAATACTTGCATGAATAAGAAGCTGTTGGAAAAGCATTTTGAAACAAATAAAATAAAATGGCAACTGGTTAGTAAGTCTTTAAAAAATACTTAATCACGCAGAAGTAAAGATGGGCAGAGGTTCACCAGCATGTAAAAACGGTATCCTATAAAAAGGGAGGGAACAATTTCAGAATAATGTTTCATAATATGAACAACAAAAAAGGTTGAATCATGTCATCTGGACTTCGTTTTTTTT